AACCCCTTACGTCATTTTTATCACCTCACGATAATGACCTTTTCCTTAACTGAAATTTATACCGTTGTTAAAAATATAGATGCAGATGAAGGACGAGGTCATCTTATTTTTTTGTTGGCCTCAAAACAGTGTTAATGCTTAACACATTTAAAATCAAATACTTTTAGTACTTCGGTACTGGAGTGGATATACGGATATTGTTTTATTAAATCTGTTGTTATTCAACTTGAGAAATCAATTGAAAGTTAGGAACGTATCTCCCTCGATTCCTTATCCTCGTTTGGTTATACTTTTGAACCTTTTCGTATGACTGAATATACACATAAGTTGTTGAATTAATTTATGAAATTTGCTTTAAGATTATTAACCAAGATAATAATCTTAATTGAATATGTATAACGAAAACTAAATGTTCACTGTTGATAATTGTGGCTTATTGCCTGTGTCATCAAGATCCAGTTCTATGCATCGTCATACAAGTGAGATTCTAAGCGAGCTATAAAACCAGGTTTAATCCACCATTTTCTACATAAGGAAATGCTTGTACCAAGTAATGAATATGACAGTTGTTTTCCATTCGTTTGATTTGTTTGAGTTTGATTTTGCCATTTTATAAAGGACTTTCCGTTTTGAATTTTCCTCGGAATTCGGTATTTTTGTTATTTTACTTTTCACATTGGACAACTGTGATGATATTGAAGCTCGCCTTAAGGACATCACTATTATACAATTTCAAAAAATCTACTTGAAAGACATAAAGGGAAATTCCGCAGGGATGGCATTGAGAACATCCATCCTTCTATACCATCTAAAGAAAAGAAGAAAAATAGAACGGCACAAGAGGCTAATACATACTCCAATATTGTGATCAATCTATCTTAACACCAGTTGACAGAAGCTGAAACATCTCTACTCTTGAAAGGCCTTAATATCAGTCCTTTTCCTGCCCCTATCAATGAGACAAAATTGTCAGAGGACCTTGACAGTTTTGCCAGAAGTCGCTGCATTAAGGACTATTTGGCGTAGAGGAAGAATAACACCGAAAGTTCGGATAGTGACTCAGACAATGCAGATAGCGGTAACAATTATAATTTTTAAACATGCCCATGAAGATCTGGAAATTCAAATTGTCTTTTTTTCTTTTGTTCGAATTATGATCTATACGTATTCCGTTACATAGATATTTTACAATGGTTTTGCACAAAAGTGGCTTAACAGCTCAGATGTTATTGCTCCGATAGAGAACACAACTTATTTTTTTTTGTCTTCCGAGAGCAGTAAATATTTATATCCCCTTTTGTGAAAAATATAAGTAAAAAAGATGTTATTTTTTCCGGTTCAGTGTTTACACTCACAATTAACATTTTAACTTACACGTGTAAATCCGGTTTACTCTCATAATAAGTTTAAATGATTTCGGTTTACTCTCATCATCAGTTTAACTGACTTCGGTTTACTCTGATAATCAATTTAACTGACTTCGGTTTACTCTCTTATCAATTTAACTGAATTTGGTTTACTCTCATAATCAGTTTAACTGCCTACGTTTTACTCCCACAATCCTTTTGATTATCTTCGGTTTACTTTCATAATCAGTTTAACTAACTCATAATCAGTTTAACTTATTACGGTTTACTCTCATAACCAGTTTAACCGACTTCGGTTTACTCTAATAATCAGTTTGAATAAATTCGTTTTACTCTCATAATCATTTTAACTGACTTTGGTTTACTCTCATAATCAGTGTAACTGACTTCGTTTTATTCTGATAATCATTTTAATGACTTCGGTTTACTCTCATAATTAGTTTGAATAACTTCGGTTTACTCTCATAATTATTTTAACTAACTTTGGTTTACTCTTATAATCAGTTTAACTGACTACGGTTTACTCCCACAATCCTTTTGATTGACTTCGGTTTAGTTTCATAATTAGTTTAACTGACTTTGGTTCACTCTCATAATCAGTTTGAATATCTTTGGTTTACTCTCATAATTATTTTAACTGACTACGGTTTACTCTCCTTGTTCCGGTTTATTCCAATATATATCATACTGTTCTTGGCAATTATACTACAATATGTATATATGACAATCATCAATACTTGTAGCTAGAACACCACTGTGGTTTGTAGTACTTTGCGTGAGGTTTTGAGTTCAATCAAAGTTAATTTGGGTCAATTAAAAGTTTAAAATTCATATTTACAACTTTTCGCTAAACCATGCGGCATTTTGGCTGATTTTTTGGTGTCTGAATAGTTATTCCAGATATCGTGAGCGTGTTCTTGAAAACTGCTTCTTTGTTACCTTGCGCGGTAAAATCCGAATCTGTGTTCTATATACATAACAGACTTGAGGTAGCAATACACAGTTAGAAAAAAAAACACTTAAAATTGACACTCATTATTTTTAATCAACCTCTTTCCCTTGCTTTCAAACAAATAAGTCTTACTGTTTGTGTCATGTATGTGCATATGTATGGATACAGCACCTTCTATAGATTTGATTTCCAATAGTTAAAATGGTGAAATATTATCTCTTATAGTTGATGTGTTTCCTCAGTTTTGGTTTGTAACCCGGATTTGTTTTCTCTCAATCGATTTATGACTTTTGAACACCGGTATACTACTGTTGCATTTATTTAGTGTAAACATGTCACAAAAGTCCCCATAAATTTGGTCCATAGTAGAATTTCAATCCATTTGAGTGATACCTTTTCTGAAACCATTGACATTTATCTATCAAGAAGTCAAATAAAAATCATATACATTTTACCTCATGTTTCCATAAAATTGAATTGAAAAGTTCAAGGGTAAAATATTTCTTGGAACTACTACTATTATTTCGGGCTATGGACGGTACGGATGTGAAAATAAAGACTGCCAAACAGAAAAACATGCAAACATGCAAAAAATTTAGTGTTCATTTTTCTTCAGCTATCTAGAAATCTTTTTTATTGCACTAAAACTTTCCTATTTGAAAATTTCACCGCGGCCAAAATGCGAAACCAAACTAACTGTGTATTGGTTCTTTATCTATATCATATTAAATGTTGTCGTTTGAAATTTGCATGTAGTATTTTTCGCTGGACGTTTAAAAACTATCAGTCAATTATTAACAAACTGAAGTGTGTTCTCTCATTGCCTTGAAGTTTTATTTCATGAATTTTTCCCTTTTCACAAAAAAAAATATGAACAGAACATGCGTATATATATTAACAAATTATATCACTACTAAGATGCTTCTATTATTACTTTTCTATACTGGTATTATGTAGTCGTTGCAAATCACAAAATCTTGTTTTAATGGATTGTTTATGATAGAGCTGCAAGATATCTACTCGTAAGTACAGCAGCAGATATCAGAGTGTAGTAAGGCATATTATTGACTGCTTTCGGCTTATTTTTAGTAACTGCGAACATGCTTTGATCCTATTTCTTCTCCAATCTGATTAAAATTGAGATCTATCTTAACTAGCTTACTTGTCTTATATGAGCATAACGAAATCAGCGATCTACATTATGATCAGTTTGTTTTTGTTTTTTCTCTTTATTTTGATAGTTTAGTATGTGTTGATCTCGACTAGCCTCTTTGAGGTTTATTGTGTTATTGTGTTGCCTGTATTGCCTTTATTCATGTGCTTATGTTACCAAACAATAGAAGATATTTAAACAAAAATCACACAGCTGAAGACATTAAAACTATCCCGAAACAAAAAGAATTAATTATTGTCTATCTTAGAAACCTGTATGTTGACCTCTAGATGTTGACATCTCGATGTCTTTTTCTTTTTTTTTTCTGATGTTGGGTTGACGCATATCAGTGTAGAACGGCATGGTTTCATATCAGCGGGTTAAATACTTTGAGCTTTTTTTATAGCATGTTCTCTTATGTACTCTGATGGATATTAAAAGGGGGTTGAGATTTATGAAATCTAGTTATAAACTCTGACACGTACGTATGTGCCTCAGCTAAGCCATGAACTCACGGCATCTCTTTTCAATGACGCATATTCCAAGCCTCCTTTTATTGACATACACCACAAACCTCTTATGTCCTTTTATTGACATCTACCCGACATCTCCTTTAATTGTAGAATACCAACATCTCCTTTTATTGACGTATACCCGACATCTCCTTTTATTGACGTATACTCTACATATTTATTCTGATGTACACCCGACATGACACCTTTCTATTATTGAAGACTCTATGTTGCCCTCTTACTATTATTTGGTATTTTTTCGTTTTCTTGTTGTATCATTGAAGCATACCCACATTTCCTTTAAATCATTTTCCCTTCTATTAACGTATACCCTGTGTCTCCTTTATTGAAGTGTACCTACATCTCCTTTCTTGGTGTATTCCGACAAACCTTTTATTAACGCATGCTTACATCTAATATTGACGTATACCCAAGTTTTATTTTATTCATAAATATATTGAAATAATTCTGGCCAGTGCTACGGCACCGACTGTTTGTCTGTTCAATAGCTATGAAACCTAATTATCACAGATTGGTTTTCAATTCTATGGATTTTATCTTAACACAATGAAATATATTGAATACTAGGTTTACATGTATTCATCTACACTGTATATAAATAAAAGCAACAGTAGTATACCGCTGTTCAAAAGTCATAAATCGATTGAGAGAAAACAAATCCGGATTACAAACCAAAACCGAGGAGAACACATCAACTATAAGAGGAAAACAACGAAACAACAGAAACACTAAACTGCATCAAAAACAAACGACAACATACATAGAAACGGACTATTTGATAACAACTGCCATATTCCTGACTAGGTACAGGACATTTTAAGAAAAAATGGTGGGTTGAACATGGTTTTATGGCTAGCCAAACCTCTCGCTTATATGGCAATGTTAAAAAAAATATATATCGCTAAAATGACAACACTACACACTTTTCTAACTGTCCATTTGAACTACATGGTGGCAAGACAGTCTAACTTGTATTTATAAAACGAAGACATACCATTTAACTATTCTTTTTTTATTAATATAGAAACTGTTGACATTTAGATGTAAAATTTGGTGATATTTAAGTTGTCTTTATGATATATGAATGGTCCTTATTTGCTCAAAGCACTGTATTATTGCAAATACTATTTGTCTAATGAAATGTAAGTAAATAAACTGGAATCAGGTTCACAATGGAAAAAGAATAGGCTGTATCATTTTCTTTGCGCGAATCTAATGGAGCATGAAACCAGTGAATGTGCTCATAGTATGGACATAAAATGGAGGAACACCATCGGGGCCATGTTTCACTACTTCGACATGATCTCCTTTCTGAAGATGCACAATTTCACTATTGGAGGCGCAACCCATTTCTAGATGTTCTGCGTCTGCGTGTATAAGCATTTCATCATGGTCGTTGACGTGTAGTGCCATTTCCAAAATTGAGTCCTTCTTGGTGCATATTGTGACGCTGAAATAAAAGAAGCCTTCTTCGGGTGCTACGAATTTTCCAGTATCAGCATGGTACGCATGTCCTGAGTTTACTCTGACTTTATCAAAATGAGCTATTTCCTCTGCGACCATATTTTCTATTGGATGGGTCAGTTCAGCAGAAAATGCAACGTGATGAGATTTAAAGTATTCAACTTCATCATGCAGCTTTTTTATTTCATGATGAAGATCATCAATTTCGTGCGTGTTATGGTCTGTATGGTTTTCAACTTCTAAAAAATAAATACAGTATGTTGTTAATATTGTTGTATTAATGATTACTGTTCTAAATAAACCGCATACAGTTATTGTATTACATATATGTAAAGTGAAAATGTCTTTTTTTGTTGATTGTCTTTTCGCCGTTTTTCTTTTTTGCTATGACATTTTCAGTTGTCTTCGACTTATGGGTTTGAATATCCCTTAATTTCTTTCGCCTCCCTTTTACCGACATAAGTCTAACATTTAGAGAAGATTATTTTTGGACTCAAACAAACTTTTAAGTAAATGTCATGTATACCAGTTTTGCTTTTGAATAGAAGCTTTCTTATAAAGATATGCATCAGGGTACATACGACAATGGTACAGCAACCTAACGATTATATCTAAAACATCATAACATTTAAAATTTTGTTTGTAGTGTATCTACAAGTAGGAAACAAACACAATACAATGAAGGTAAATGGCCGTTATATCAAATGAATAACGCGTGTATTGTTGATATTGACAAATAATGTACTTTTGATATTGATTGAAAACAGATTATACTGTGCGTTTGAATTACGCATTTCATATTAATAGGTTGTTAACCATTTTGTTTTGATCGGTTTTGCCGGAAAATATATAGCTTTGCTTTGCCATATGTTAACGAAACAGAGGTTAAAACAGTGAATATTTTGAAAAGTTTGTTTTTTTAATTTAGTTTTAATTTTATGACACGATAAAAATCATCGTAAAAAAGAAAACTAGAGACAGCTAGTGATTCACAAGGAGAGTTAAATGAGCGAAATTGACTGTGAATTGAACAGGAAAATAGAGCGCAGTATAACAAAAAATTATACACGAGGAACTTTAGAGTTGGTTGACCGTTATGGAATAACCGTTTCACAGATGATATCGGATATGTTCCTTATGTCGTAACTACAATACTCTTCCCTTTTCACGAATGTGACCTACCGAATTAGACTACTCACCGGATTTGTAATAACATAAGCAACGCGACGGGTGCCACATGTGGAACAGGATCTGCTTACCCTTCCGGAGCACCTGAGATCACCCCCAGTTTTTGGTGGGGTTCGTGTTGCTTAGTCTTTAGTTTTCTATGTTGTGTCATATGTACTATTATTTTTCTGTTTGTCTTTTTTGTTTGGCCATGGCGTTGTCAGTTTTTTTTCGATCTATGATTTTGACTGTCCCTCTGGTATCTTTCGCCCCTCTTTTACAGCTCAGAGTGAACGAACATATTTTGAAATTCAATAGGACCCATAGAGCCTTATCTCCTAAAGTTAGCAAACGTATACTATGAAATTATCAAGACAAGGAGGGCAATGTCACCTTAAGTTACGTATTCTCTGAAATTGACAAGACCAGGAGAACTATATCCCATAAAGTTACCGAACGTATACTCTGATATTAACAAGGATATGTACAGCTATATCACCTTAAGTTACCGAACGCATAGTCAGAAATTAAAAGGACAGCATTATATATAACCATAAGTTAGCAAATACATACTATGAAATTAAAACGGATAAGGGGGGCTATATACCAGAAAATTACCGAACACATACTCAGAAATTAACAAGGACAAAGAAGGTCAAATGATCAAAAGTTACCGAAACATACTCTGAAATAACCAAGGACATGGAGAGCTATGTAACCGAAAGTTAAGGAACACATACTTTGAAATGAACAAAGACATGGAGAGCTATGTAACCTAGAGTAAACGAACATACTGTTAAATTTATAAGGATATAAAGACATAAAACCTAGAGTGACCGAAAGTATTCAGGAATTTCACCATTACTAAGAGGGAGAAATGTATAGTGGCTTTATAACTTTGTACGTAATAACTATATTTACTCCTTAGACAAAGACATCAAAACAAAAAATTAACTAACAGAATCAGTAGGCCAAACATGTGTCGTTGTAAAATATACGAACTTCGTGCGTTGTGAAGGTCCATTCAGTGATAAATTACTATTATTGATATCTTTTAATTTTAAGGAATGTTCAACTAGTGTATACTACCATGAACAATGTCTCTAGCTTGTGGTTTTATTTTTAAAAAATACACGAACATAAAGTTCAGGTGTGATTACAACATATTTTCTACAACATGCATATTTCAAAAACTGCACTAAATATCCATTATTTAAAGTAGATTATTTTTACGCAAGTTTACTGAATTTTTAGATGACTATCACCATCTTAAACAAGACTTCACAGAAATTAAAACTTTAAAGACATTTTCCAAAGGTATTCCCCTTCTACTTTGTTATAAATTGAGACGGGGGAATATATTACCCCAATACAAAATATAGTATCATAATAATTGATACAGAGAAATTATTATCGCAATAACATGGGCGGGGAATGAATTGACATTTATAGTTGTCAAACGTATAAGGGCAAAATTCCAAACTACTTAAACAAAAATAAAATTATGATAATTATAAAACAAATTTATATTTTTCAAAGACTTGTAATGGTGTAAATACGAATGCAGTTTTCAAAATTTAACATTTAATCATTCTGTGCGACTCTTTGATTTTCTAATGATACAAAATATTTTAATAACCTATACATCTTTTCTGATATCTGTTTTGTGGCCTTCTGATGTAAATGTTGAGACCAGACTATTTAAAACAAAACTTGTTTCTTTATGAAATAATTTCTTACCGTGAACCTCCTCTTGAATTTCATGATGGATGTACTTTTTAAGGTCTGCATTGAGTGATGTCAAGTCGAATTCGGCCTTAAGGAAAGCGTCGTGATGGCCAACTATCGGGGCATCGTGGTGTTCATCGTGATGCTCATCTTGGTGTTCATCGTGGTGTGGTTCTTCAACGGGATTACACGACCCATGGTCAAACAAACTGATAACGCAAAACAGCACCAGGAATGAAATGTGGTAACGAGCCATTCTAACACAGGTTTAGACTGATGTAAATGTTGTAGTAGGTAAACGTCGACTGTCGTTTGTAACTGATTTCATTTGAATTTCATTTTTATACTAATGTGTCAAGGCGCATGGGCATGCCCGAATTAACAGTCCAGAATTTGGAACATCGAAACAAAGAAAGAAAAACTGCATCGGCAGCATTTAATTGCCAGTTTTACGAAGTTTATACAAGATTTATCTGTATTTTTTAAAAGGAAACCCTGACAAATATATTAATTCAGAGTGCAACTAGGTTTTGAAACGTGGATGTATGCCAAGGTTATATGCATTTTAAAATTGAGTGCAGTGTGACATGGGGAGAGGATAATTGAATTCTACATTTACTTGATAAAAAATGATAGATACATATGTACTTTGGTTTTGTTACGCAAGCACATTCGACAGATTAATATTATGTCAGCATTTTTTAGCTACTTAGAGAAATTTTAGATTAACCGACATTACTAAGGACAAATATCTACAAAGAATTACCGAAAGTCGGTTAAAAAGTTGTTTCAGTTACGTGGTAAGTTCTATATCGAACTTATAATACACCAGGGAACGATGAACTATTTTGCTTTACTCCTTTATATATATGCCTAACATGTCTGAACTTTTTAATGTTTCATTTCAATGTATAAAAAAAATGTTTTTCTGTTACAAATCATGATGTATTGTTTTATGTGTACATGTCATGCTGCCCATCATATTCTTATTCTTATGCCTATGTAAATATATATAAGAAAAAGTTTGTGTAGTATAAGAATTGTAAGCCCAAATGTGAAAGCACTATATAGAATAATTGTATTTATAGGTACATACATCAAACTGTTTTGATTCGAGTGCCACTGCTGGGTATTTGTTTGACAAAACGTGCGACTGGCTTTACAAATTATAAGCTTGTTATCTTTGCTGAGTTTTTACAACCACTGGGTGGATGTCACTGGACTATTCATCCACGAGGGTATCACAATAGTCACCACTTCTGTGTTGACATGAAATATCAATGAAACGGTCATTTTCTGTAAATTAGGTACAAAATTTGAATCATTCGGAACACTCAGGTATTTATTTCTACCCACAGCCATACTTCGCAGTTTTTTTGGACAACTTTTCGATATTTTTGATTTTCAATGCTCTACAACTTTGTATTTAATTTGGTCTTCAAGCTGATTCTAGAATCACTGATGAGTCTTACGTAGACAAACAAAACTTAACAAATTATAAGCCTGGTATTTTTGATCGAGTTTTTACATACTACTGTAGCATATTGAAATCAGCTGAAAATAATAGGAAAACGAGATATGTTTCTCATACTAGAAAATAACACACTACAAATTTGGGATTGCCCATGCGCCTTGACACATTTGTATAAAATTGAAATTCAAATGAAATCGGATACAAACGACTGTCGACGTTTGCCTGCTACAACATCTACATCAGTTTTAACCTGTGTTTGAATGGCTCGTTACCACATTTCATTCCTGGTGCTGTTTTGCGTTATCAGTTTATTTGAACAGGGATCAACTAATCCCGTTGAAGAACCACACCACGATGCCCCGATAATAGGCCATCACAAAGCTTTACTTAAGGCCAAATTTGACTTGACATCACTCAATGGTCAGCTAAAAAATTACGTTCATCGTGACGTTAAAGAGGAGTTTCACGGTAAGACATTATTTAAATAAGAAACAATATTACAAGATATAAAATTTATACATTTGGCGCTTGATGTCTCTTTCGTTTTTGAATACTCTTGTCACAACATTTACATCAGAACGTCACATAACAGATATTAAAAAAGACGTATAGGTTATTGACATGTTATTTATTATTAGAAAACCAAAAAGTCATACAGAATGATTAAATGTTCAATTTAAAAACTGCATTCATAGTATCACCATCACAGGCCTTTGAAAGATATTAAATTTGTTTAAAACTATCATAATTTTATTTTTGTTTCGAATTTTGCACTCAAAACATTTGCAAAATACCACACATAGGTGATTATTTATACCCCGCCTCGATTATTGTGATACTAATTTATCTTTATCAATTATTATGATAATACATTTGCCGTCTAAATTATTGGGATAATATATTTCCTGTCTCAAATTATAGTAAAGTAAAAGGGAGATTTACTTGGAAAATGTCTTTATTTTTAGTCCCCTATCGACGAAGTCGAAAGGGACGTTAGGTTTGCACTCCGTCCGTCTGTCTGTCCATCAGTCCGGAAAACCAGTTTTTCAAACCTTTTTTCTTCATGCTTGAAGATATTGATTTGATAATTGGTTTATAGTTTTATCATGACAAGTTACAGATCAAATTCAAATTTTGTTCCGGGTTGATGATTTTGTGCAGAGTTACAGTCCTTTAAATTCACTCAAATAATCAGTATTCCTCACTTTTTCGTCATGCTTGAAGATATCAACTTGATATTTGTTATATAGTTTACGCCATGACAATTTATAGACCAAGTTAGCATTTTGTTCTAGTACAATGAATTTTTAACCGGTAGGGGACTATGTATTGCCATGCAATACTCAAGGGACATTCAAACTCATCAGTCGAAAATAAACTGACAACGCCATGGCTAAAAAAGGACCAACCGACAAACAATAGTACATAAAACACAACATAGAAAACTAAAGACTGAGCAACACAAACCCCACCAAAAACTGGGGGTGATCTTAGGTGCTCCGGAAGGGTAAGCAGATTCTGCTCCACATGTGGCACCCGTCGTGTTGCTCATGTTAGAACAAACTGATTTAAATAATGGGTTTTCAGTACAGTTTTTGTCTCATGGTTCATTGGTCAATGTTAAGTTTTTGTGTTTTGATCTGTTTTTCAAGTACTATGAGCAATAGGTCTACTATATTTGGTGTATGTAATGCTTGTAAGGTGTACATGTCGGTCTAACCGGTACCATCAGACCTTGACCTCATTTTCATGATTCATTGATCAATGTCAAGTTTATGTGCTTTGGTCTGTTTTTCAAATACTAATAGCAATAGGTCAGCTATATTTGGTGCATGGAATAATTGTAAGGTGTACATGTCTGTGTGGCATTTATCATCTGACCGTAAGAAATAATTATTAGTTGTACATATCTGTCTGCCTGGATTTACCTGACCTTGACCTCATTGTCATGGATCTTTAGAAATGTTAAGTTTATGTGATACTTGTAGTTAAACCTTTATCTTTAAGACTTTCAACAAAAAACCAATGGTCAGTAAAGCAGGCGAGACATTTCAGTGTGTGCACTCTTGGTTAAAATATGCTTGCTGTAGAAAATATGCTGTGGTCTACTCTTAAATTAACGTTCGCTTATTTATTTAAACCACAATTAAAGACATTGTTCATAGTAGAATACTAGTTCATTCCTTGTAAGGTGTTCATGTCTGTCTGGCATTTATCATCTGACCTTGAATTCATTTTCATGGTTCATTAGTCAATGTTAAGTTTTTGTGATTTGGTCTGTTTTTGCATTAACCGTAAGCAATAGGTCAACTATATATGGTATATGAAATAATTGTTAGGTGTACAGATCTGTCTGACAGGATTTACTTGACCTTGACCTCATTGTCATGGATCTTTAAAAATGTTACGTTCATGTTATACTTGTAGTATAACCTTTATCGTTAAGACTTTGAACAAAAAATCAATGGTCATTAAAGCAGGCGAGACATTTCAGTGTGTCCACTCTTGTTTAAAATATGCATGCTGTAGAAATATGATGTGGTCCACTCTTAAATTTTCGTTCGATTATTTATTTAAACCATAGCTAAAGACATTGTTCATAGTTAAAATGCAAAAAATAATGATAGTAATTTATGTCATGTATCACTGAATAAAACTTCACAAGGCACGTAAATTTCATTTCAACACATATTCGGCCTAATGTTTCTGTAAACACATGTTTTTGTTTTGATGCCTCTGCCTAAGGACTAAAGATAATTATTGCGTACAATGTTATAAAGCTTTTCTTTAAATTGCTCCCTCTTTGTAATAGTGAAATCTCGGAATATGTTTGGTCACTCTAGGTTTTATGTCTTCATATCCTTGTAAATTTCACAGTATGTTCGTTTACCTTAGGTGACATAGCTCAATGTCTTTGTTCATTTCAGAGTATGTGTTCGGTAACTTTCGTTTACATAGCTCTCCATGTCCTTGCTATTTTAACAAGTTTCAGTTACTTACCTTGTCCTTGTTAATTTCAGAGTACTTGTTCTGTAACTTTCAGTTTTTAGCTCTCCTTGTCCTTGTTTATTTCAGAGTATGAGTTCTGTAACTTTCAGTTTTTAGCTCTCCTTGTCCTTGTTAATTTCAGAGTATGTGTTCTGTAACTTTCAGTTTTTAGCTCTCCTTGTCCTTGTTAATTTCAGAGTATGTGTTCTGTAACTTTCAGTTTTTAGCTCTCCTTGTCCTTGTTTATTTCAGAGTATGTGTTCTGTAACTTTCAGTTTTTAGCTCTCCTTGTCCTTGTTTTTTTCAGAGTATGTGTTCTGTAACTTTCAGTTTTTAACTCTCCTTGTCCTTGTTTATTTCAGAGTATGTGTTCTGTAACTCTCGGTTTTTAGCTCTCATTGTCCTTGTTCATTTCATAGTACTTGTTCTGTAACTTTCAGTTTTTAGCTCTCCTTGTCCTTGTTTATTTCAGAGTATGAGTTCTGTAACTTTCAGTTTTTAGCTCTCCTTGTCCTTGTTAATTGCAGAGTATGTGTTCTGTAACTTTCAGTTTTTAGCTCTCCTTGTCCTTGTTAATTTCAGAGTATGTGTTCTGTAACTTTCAGTTTTTAGCTCTCCTTGTCCTTGTTTATTTCAGAGTATGTGTTCTGTAACTTTCAGTTTTTAGCTCTCCTTGTCCTTGTTTTTTTCAGAGTATGTGTTCTGTAACTTTCAGTTTTTAGCTCTCCTTGTCCTTGTTTATTTCAGAGTAACTTTCAGTTTTTAGTTCTCTTTGTCCTTGTTTATTTCAGAGTATGTGTTCTGTAACTTTCAGTTTTTAGCTCTCCTTGTCCTTGTTTATTTCAGAGTATGTGTTCTGTAACTTTCAGTTTTTAGCTCTCCTTGTCCTTGTTTATTTCAGAGTATGTGTTCTGTAACTCTCGGTTTTTAGCTCTCATTGTCCTTGTTCATTTCAGAGTATGTGTTCTGTAACTTTCAGTTTTAAGCTCTCCTTGTCCTTGTTTATTTCAGAGTATGTGTTCTGTAACTTTCAGTTTTTAGCTCTCCTTGTCCTTGTTTATTTCAGAGTAACTTTCAGTTTTTAGCTCTCCTTGTCCTTGTTAATTTCAGAGTATGTGTTCTGTAACTTTCAGTTTTTAGCTCTCCTTGTCCTTGTTAATTTCAGAGTATGTGTTCTGTAACTTTCAGTTTTTAGCTCTCCTTGTCCTTGTTTATTTCAGAGTATGTGTTCTGTAACTTTCAGTTTTTAGCTCTTCTTGTCCTTGTTAATTTCAGAGTATGTGTACGGTAACTTTCAGTTTTTAGCTGTCCTTGTCCTTGTTAATTTCAGAGTATGTGTACGGTAACTTTTGGAAACATACCTCTCTATGTCCAGTTTATTTTCAGCAAGTTTCGGTTATTTGTCCTTCCTTTGTCCTTGTTATAGTCTTCGTGTCCTAGTAAATTTCAGTTTTCGATTAACTTTCAGTTATACAACTCTCTATACTCATTTCTTAGTGTTGTGTCATTTAAGGTTATCAATTTTCATTGTGAATCTCTGGCTGTATAAAGTTTTTAATTATACGATGATTTCATGTTTTTTTATCGTGTCATTAAATGAAATTACAAACATTTTCTGCAAACTTTTCAAAATCTTCACTGTTTTAACCTTTGTCACCTTTACAATATGGCAAGGTAAAGCTATGTTTTTTCGTCAATATCGATCAAAACAAAATGGTTAACATTAACTATGACATACGTAATTTCAACGCAAAAATATACCTTGACCTTTAATCTGCTTTTAATACAATATCAAAAATGAATTATTTGTCTATACCAAAAATACACGCGTTGTTCTTTTGATATAAAGGTCCTAATTTTATTATTTTTTCCCTTCCTGTTCATACACTGCAAACAAAATTCTCATTGAAAGAATATGCTATGATGTTTGAGATATTGTCGTCCGGTTTCTGTCCCATTGATATATATATACCCTGATGCACATCTTTGAAGAATGTTTCTATTCAAAAGCAAAACCGGTATATATGACATTAGCTGAAAATTTTGTTTGAGTTTAAAAATGATTTTCTCTCAATGTTTAACTTGTATCAGCAAAAGAGAGGCAAAAGATACCAAAGAGAGGCGAAAGATACCAAACGAATATTCAAACTCGTAAGTCGAAGACAAACTGACAATGTCATGGCAAAACAAAAACAACGAAAAGAAAAACAAGTCTAAAATAAGCTATTTTCTCTTGACATACTTGTAATACAATAACTGTAATAATAAGTCTGTATGCGGTTTACTTAGTAAAGTACCCATCAATGCTGCAATATTAACAACAGACTGTATCTATTTTTTAGAAGTTGAAAACCATACAAATCATAACACGCACGAAATTGAGGAACTACATCATGAAATAGAACAGCTGCATAAGGAAGTTGAATATTTAAAAACTCACCACGTTGCATTTTCTGCTGAACTGACCCATCCAATAGAAAATATGGTCGCAGACGAAGTAGTTCATTTTGATAAAGTCAGAGTAAACTCTGGAGGTTCTTACTGTGCTGATACTGGAAAATTTGTAGCAGAAGAAGAAGGCTTCTTTTATTTCAGTGTCACAATATGCACCAAGAAGGACTCCATTGTGGAAATGGCACTACACGTCGAGGACCATGATGAAATGATTATATTTGCCGACGCAGAACATCTAGAATTGGGTTGCGCCTCAAATAGTGAAATTGTCCATCTTCAGAAAGGAGATCATGTCGAAGTAGTGAAACATGGCTCTGATGGTGTTCCTCCGTTTTATGTCCATTCTATGAGCACATTCACTGGTTTCATGCTTCATTAAAGTCGCATAAAGAAAATGAAACGGACTTTTCTTTTTTCCATTGTGAACCTGATTCAAATTAAATTTACTTTCATTTCATTACAAATTACAAATAGTACTTGCAATAATACAGTGCTTTGGACAAACAATGACCACTCATATATCATAAAGACAACTTAAATATCACCAAATTTTACATCTAAATGTCAACAGTTTCTATATTAATAAAAAAAAGAATAGTTAAATAGTATGTCTTCTTTTTATAAATACATGTCTTGCTACGATGTAGTTCAAGTATATAGTAAGAGAATACAGTGTAGGTTAATACCTGTTCACCTAGTAATCAATATATTTCATTGTTTGAAGTTAGTCAATGAACATTCAGTTTCTTAGCTATTCACCAGGCAAACAGTCAGTGCCTTAGCACTGGCCAAGATTTATTCCAAACATAAAAAAAAAACTTGGGTATACGTCTATATGAGATGTGGGCATGCGTCAATATGAGATGTGGGCATTCGTCAATATGAGATGTGGGCATGCATCAATATGAGATGTATGGGCATGAGTCGATATGAGATGTGGGCATGCGTAATATGAGATTTTTGGCATGCATCAATATAAGGTTTTGTCTGTATACAACAAGAAAGGAGATGTAAGTAAATAGAAGGGAAAATAAAAAGGAGATGTGGATATGCTTCAATGGCACAGCAATAAAACGACAACAGTTGTCATGTCGGGTGTAAATTAGTAAAAAGAGATGTAGAGAATACTTCAAGTACAAGTGATGTGGGGTAAATGTGAATATAAGTAGACTTGGGGTATACGTTAGAAAAGATTTAAGGTAAATGTCAATAAAAGGAGATGTCGATTTATACGTACATCCAAAAAGTTATAGGGTATAAGTCTACAAGAAATCTGGGGTATAGATCAATAAGATATGTAGGGTATATGTCTATAAGAGATGTGGGTATACTTTCAATAAAAGGAGATGTCGGGTAGATGACAATAAAAAGACATATGAGGTTTACTTCAAAAAGGGAGATGTCGGGTGTATTTAAGTAAAAGGTGACGTGAGTTATACACCATTGAAATGAGATGTCGGGTGTTTGTCAATAAAAGTATTTGTTTAGTATGTGTGACTATAAGGCGACGTCGTATACGTTAGAGAAGATTTGTGGTATATATAAAAATAAGAAGATGTGGTATGATTGCCAATGAGACAAATCTCCATAAGAGGCCAAATGACATAGAAATTAACAACTATAGGTCACCTTACGGTCTTCAACAATGACCAAAGCCCATACCGCATAGTCAGCTATAAAAAGCCCTGAAATGACAAATGTAAAACAATTCAAACGAGAAAAATAACGGCCTAATAATGTCAATCAAAGGAGATGTCTTGTTTTACGTCAATAAAAGAAATATGGGGTATACGTCAATAAAAGAAATATGGGGTATACGTCAATAAAAGAAATATGGGGTATACGTCAATAAAAGATTTTGGTTTACCTCATTAAATGGAGATAGAAGGTTTATATCAATAAAAGAAAATATGATGTATACGTTAATAAAAGGCATGGAATAGTGTCATTGAAAAGAGATGTCGGAACAAAGTTCCTGGCTTAGCTCAGGCACATAAGTTTGTGTCGGGGTTAACTCATAAATCTCAACCCTCTTTTAATTTCCATCGGTTACAAAGGGTACATAAACACATGCTATAAATATCACTACAGGATAATTGCTTAAGTATATAATAAAGGTATATTATATATTTAAAACACAAGCACAAACAAAACAATGATAAACAATACAATAATATCAGGATAATCTCAGTTACTTAAACCTAGCTCAAAGTATAAAACCCGCTCATATGAAACCTTGCCGTCCTACACTCATATGCAGAAACCCAACACACATAATGAATGAAAGACATCTAGATGTCAACATCTGGAGGTCAACATACAGGTTTCACAGATAGACAATATTCAATTCTTCTTGTGTCGGGATAGCTTTAATGTCTGAATCAGCAGTGTAATTTTCGTTTAGATATCTTCTTTTTTTTCCTAACCAAAGCACATGGATAAAATCAATAAACACAACATAATAAACCTCAAAGAGCTAGTCGAAATCAACACATACTAAATACTTGACACGCTCCAGTATTAAAATGAAAGAGAAACAACAATCTAAAGATAGTATTACATCTCTGATTTTGTTATGCTTCTATAAGACGATAATACGATAGATCTGAATTTTAATAAAATTGTAGAAAAAAAAGCATGTTTGCTGCTACTAAAAACAAGCCCATAGCATTTAATACTATGCCTTACTACACTCTGATATCTGCTGATTTACTTCCGAGTTAATTTGTTACTCGATTATAAGCAATGCATTAAAACGATTTTGTGCTTTGTAATGAGTACAGAATACAAGTATAGAAAAACAAATGATAGAACCATCTTAGTAGTGTTCTAATCTGTTTATATATATGTCAGAAAATGTTCATGTTGTAAGAGATGGAAACTTAAATTCACTAGGATTATGTAAGTAACATAATACAGGTCATTCGGAGAAAAAAATAATTCAGAAGCCTATAAAAAGGACCAACCAGCAAATTTACAAAGATGATGTATATATATTATTAGTTACATGGTGTGTTAGTGACCTAATACGGTATATATGGGGTCAGTAAATTCGATATGGGGTAAGAGCGAAGCTCGAATCCCCATATGGAATTTTCTGAACCCATATATATCGTATTAGGTCACTAGCACACCGTGTAACGAATTTATCTTGCCGACTATCTTCACATGTGGTATTTTGACTAGCGACCTATCAAAGTGATTTTAAAGTCTTCAATACTTAGTATTAAGATCTTACTTCCATTTGTCTATACAGAAAACAAATGCCCACAATAACAACGTTTTAGCTTTAAATTTGTTTTATGAATTTATTTCAATCGTTCATTACATGTATCAATTTCTTCGTCTGTTGAAACCTTTCAGATTTCTTTTTTTGTTTTGAAAGGGAAGTAACTCCTTAATACCAACAATAACAACTTGTTAGCTTTAATTATATTTTATGAATTTATTTCAATCTTTCATCATCAATTTCTTCGTCTGTTGAAACCTTTCAGATTTTTCCTCAACACCGTGTTGTTTTTATAAAGGGTCGTGCCATCTTTTTTGTTTTGAAGGGGAAGTAACTCCTTACTAACCCCATATGGTAACTAACCATGTATGGTAACTAACCCTATATTTTTAGGACACCCTATATCAAATATACATAGTCACCACATGTAGTCCTTTAACCAATCATATCCCTATAAATCTATAGGAGGTAAGATAAATATATATATATATAAAGATCTAAGACCTCCAAAACATGTCGCTAGTGAGCTGAGAATCAAACACATAGTTTCTGTTAACCAATTCTTGATGCTGACCGTAAAACTTGTGATGTATCGATTTAGTTCCTCCTCATAACTCTGTTGGGACACTTTTTGTGAAAGAAGCAAACCCTATTAATGAAGTCGATACAGTGTGAAGATGAACGAGCATAACGTATGTATTGAGATATATGAACGACATACGATGGCACAGAGGGTATGTTTCTGTTAAGAAATGGGAAGTTGAAAATGTTTGTCATATTTTTTAGTTTGAAGTCGTCCATTTGTGTCAAATATCAAGAAGCAAACCTTCTAGTGTCAGTAGTATCTCTAGTTTCAGGTTCACTGGGATAAACGGGATGAAACGTGGGTTATTGGGTAACAGGATCAATATGTATAATAGGTAATATAAAAATAAGAAGATGTGGTATGATTGCCAATGAGACAACTCTCCACCAAAGAACAAATGATATAGTCGTTATCAACTATGGGTCACAGTATGGCCTCCAACAATGAGTAAAACCCATATCGCATAGTAAGCTATAAAAGGCCCCGAAATGACAAATTTAGAATAATTCAAACAAGAAAACTAACGGACTGATTTATGTCCAAAACAATAAACGAAAAACAAATATGATATACAGTAACAAACGACAACCACTGCATTACAGGCTCCTGACTTGGGACAGGCACATATACTATGTAGCGGGATTAAACATGCATATTTTATCATTTTTCTTATCATATAACAACCAACAATATTTTTTCCGCAGTAAAGCAGATTATTTTTGTTTAACAATTTTAAAAGAATTATTCAGAATAATAGTGTCCTCCCTTTATTCTGACAATAGATTTTTTTCTTCATAGATTGAAAATCAGGGGGAAACATCATTTCCCCCCCTCCCCCCTCCCCCCTCCCCCCAAAAAAATTCTACACATAAATGTGATATAATATTTTGCATTATTAGATTTATCTCATGTAATGATTGTAGCAATGTAGCGATAAAACTATAGATTATTTGTTTCGAAAATTAAAATCAGCTTTAACGAAGGAAATGAATATTTATGTCTAAAACCTTTAAAAACTGTATTTCAATCAGGGTAAATAATTACTTACACAGGTCATTATGTTATGAATTGAAGCACATTATATCTTGGTATCTTCCGGGTTGTTTTTTCTAGCGTTATGAAAGGACATAACTTCATATAAATATATCACTGAAGTTATGTTAAATTATGTGACTGGTTATGACGTCTTTACACTAAATCCATTGGAGTTGTACTGATTGATATTTTAGTCTAAGATACATGGTTTTGACTAGTTATTTTTGAATTTGAAGTAGCTTTCAGATCTGTACTTTGTGTCTATCTTTTTTGTTAGTTGTTTTTGCGCTTTGTTACGATTTGATGAGTTTGTTCTTGTTGTGCTGCTTAACCACTGTTCCAGCTTAGGAAGGCTTGGATACTCGCAATCTGGTTGTGCCGGTCCAAAGTAAGGAGCCTGTAATTCAATGGTTGTCGTTTGTTGCTATATATCATATTTGTGTTTCGTACATAAATCATAAAACATCTACGTCATTTGGTCTTAATTGTATTAAGTACATGTACCTGTCTTTGTAAGAATCATGCAGGTTCCTGTTGATGGGCGATTCATGACCCCTCTTCAAATGTCTTTATATTTTGTTTATGAAGAAGGTATGGTATGAAAATAAGTTTCATATATTATTTTTTTTCTTTTGAACCTTGGTTGCCATGGAAACCATCCTTACAAAATTTTGCCAAAATACGTACAAAAGTAGCCTTTGAAAATTGAAATATAAGGGATTTTAAAGAACCATTGAAATAAAGTTAATCAAT